GGCCCCATAAAAGGTTCTAACCCACAGAGCTACACCGTACTGCACTGCTCCTCGTTTCAGTTATAAAAACAATCAAAACCAGGCAGCTGATATTCAACAGTAACAATTCAAAACCACCCACCCCCCAGCCGCCCCCGTGATTTTTAGGGAGTGTCTCTGTAATACAAATAATGTCAATACACTCTTTTGCGATCACAGTTAACAGTTCATTTCTTTTGTTCAAAATGGAATCCGAGTTCGTGCAGAAACATTTTAAAACTTTTTGTGCACTTCCATATTGATGAATGAGTGAACTTTTTACTTTATTTACAGAACTGGATAGAACCAAGACAACAATGTAGTCAATACATTTTCTTGCGATAGAGAAGGTTGTGGACTACTCCTCGATATGGACTACATCGGGCTCACAACTATGACATTAAGCCGACGTCTCACGTGCCACCTTCAGTCTGGTGGACCAAGGAACCACCTGATGGAAGCCCACAACGAGACCATCACTCGTACGGTGCTGGAAGAATGCACCAGCGTCGTCGTGAGATGCCCCGACGCCAACCGACTCGCGATAGCTGAGGCCCTCATCATTAAGGATAGGACCCCAGCCATCAACCTACAAGCTACTGGATTTGTCAGAACGTTGAGGCTGTTTTCGGAGTAATTTTCGGTGTTTTAATTTTTGATTATCTGCATACTTTTGTAATTTTGTGATTATTTCTACCAATTTGATTTTTTAAGAAGTATCCTATTTCATGATTTTATACTTATGTCGATCCAAATTCCATCACTCAATGCGTCTTGTAACTTGATAATGAATGATTGATACATTCGAAACGTCATTGAAGAAATAAAAATGTCCATTGGTACTCTGATTTTCGATTTACTCCACTTTGGCTTGGGGTAAAAAATGTGCAGCGTTTGTAGCTGGTGGAATTTACTTAATAAATCATTGGACTGCCCCGAGAGCAGGAAAACAAAATACAAAGACGAAAACAATAGACATTTTCAATAAAATTTTGACAAATGACTAATCAAGAACAAAGCAAATTGGAACGTAGAGGAAAATAGTGAACAATAGGTAAATGATTCAAAATGCTTGGCAACTAAACGTAACTTACGTTGGTTTTTCAAAGGGAGCTTAAACGAAACAAAATTGCGAGTGACTACGGACACGATGATAGTTCATCTGTCTAAGGCGGCTGCAAGGTGAATGGATTCCTACAATACGATAGGCCTGGACGCCTCTAATCCGCCGAGTCAATGGTTCTCGGCACAGTCATTGCATTTTTTGAGTCCCCAGATCTGATTGAGTTCCTGTAAAAGACGTTTAGGAAAAATTTATGGCCGGACTCGCGGCCGCTCTTTCTGAATTCAGTGAACAAGGAATTTCTCTCAAAGTAATGATCTTAGCTCGACGAAACTTGGTACACGTATTCATTATGACCTAACAGTGATATTTAGCTCGTGAAATTTTTTGGAATTTCACCTTCATTCATGAGCTATATGGCGATACGCGCTGAAATTCGTAGTGAGCAAGACATTTCTTGTGAACTGCTTTACAGATCTGAACGAAACTTTGAATATATAAACCTAACCTCCCATCGGTGATGTTTAGCTCATGACTATTTTTTTAGATTTTGCCTTCGTTCGTGAGTTTCTCCATTTGTCCCTCATTCGTGATTAAAACAGCAATATGTGCCGAAATCCGCAGTGAGCATGACATTTCTTCTAAAATACTGAAAAGATTTGAACGAAGCTTCTCATATGAATACCTAACTCCTCTGATGTTTAGCTCGTGAAAATTTTTTTAGTTTGTTTTCGTTCGCGAGTTATACAGATATAAGGAGAAGCGACCGTCATTTCTCAGCCCGATTTCAAACTTGTATTGACCACTTCGAATTTCGGCAAGTATAGCTGTTTAAATCACGATTTAGGGAAAAATGGAAAAAACTCGCGAACGACGGCAAAATCTATGAAATGTCATGAGCAAAAAAATCACCGTTGGGAAGTTTGGTTTGGATATTCAAAGTTTCGTTCAAATCTGTTCAGTAGTTTAGAATAAATATCATGCTCACTGTGAACTTCGGCATGTTTCACCATATAACTCACACAAATGAAGGTGGAATTCCAAAAAATTTTACGAGCAGTTAAAATTTTACACCACCACCGTTAGGTCCCAATGAATACGTGTACCGAGTTTCATCGAGCTACGTTCATTACATTGGGAGATATTCCTTGTTCACAGAATTGGGAGATTTGCCGCGAGACCTGCCGTAAATTTGTCCGGGACGTCAGTAAAAGGTCCCTGTTCGTTTTTATAAATCCTAATGAAATATAATTTAGAATCATGAGCATAGTATACCACGATTATAACGCCCGTCACTAGAAGATTCATCAGTACGGTCACAGTTCTCGTCAGAAGAAACGATACGGTCACAACAATCAACCGCAGTAAACCCACAAGAAATCTACGGCCAGACTGACCGTGAGACATCTATAGATCAGCGAGACACGACGGCTATGGAGCAAGAACGACCGCGGCAGCGGGGATGAGCGGCGACGGACACGGTACGGCCGCTGGAAATTCTGCCGCAACGCGTGCAGTGTGCGTGCATTATGCGGTCGTTTACGACAGCCGTACGACTCAACGGAACTGCTATGGATCAATGTTTCTGGTAAATAGAGAAGTTTTAGTGATGTTAACTGATAGGTTCTCAATTTTGATTGTGTTCAGATTCCTTTTTCGTGTACTAGAAATTTTTTGTTAACGTAGGATGTGAACTTAAATTTTCCAATTTAATATGAAATTTATCAGTGTTTCATTACAACCCTCTCTCTGTACGATACGCCGTAACCTATTCATGCGAGAACCTAGTCACGTCACTCTGTACCAATCTGACGAAATTAAAGCGATGGCCGATATAATAAAAGTATAATAACTGTAAAAATCTCACAAGTACATAACTTTGAAAAACTCATTTTTTTAATGAGCACGGCACAACGCAATTGTATGGACAGGTTTTACTAAATACAGTGTGAATACTCAGTGTTTTATTTAAACGGAAACCCTTCCATGACCGTGTCGAGATACGAGTACAGTGAGAAAAAACTAGTCCCCCAGTAATGCTTCTGTGGATGCTGTAAAATGTGTATGTGGATGCTGTAAAATCGCATTTTTCCACAATTTGATGACAATGAATGTTATCGGTAACAAGAATACCTCAAGAGCTGTTGGTATTAATAGAAGTTAAGCTAATCGGTAGGCCCTTCACATTAGACCAAATGTAGATACATCCTGGGACAGCAGTCGCCTAAATTATCTTTGTTGTCAAAAGCTGCTGTTTATTTAGATTTTTATGCGATTTAATATTTTATTACATTTCCCTAATTATTATTTATCGTTAATCTCACATGGCTGAGGTCGCCCAGTAACCTTAGCTACCGGGCTTTGGGGCGCAGCAGCCGTACGGTGAGGCGAGGAGAGGCGCCCGAGGGGCAGTCGTGCCTTGCCAGCCGCGAGGTCAGGGCACTGGCCTCTGCTGCCTTAATTAACTCGTAGTTTATTTTGCCAGGACTTGGATTTCGCCTCAGTTAATTCTAAAAGACGGGGTTACTATGCACCCATAATTTGTTGATTTTATAAATTTTATTCTAATTTGCGAATTTATAACGCGCTGCTGTACTTTTCTAGATATTATTATTTTGGTATTTTTTGTAAATGCAAATTTATTTTTTTCGAAACTAGTTTATACGCTCTGCCTCTGGTGAGAAACAGTAGCGACCACAGAAGTTAAGAGTGTGATATTAGTCCTGAGAAACATAATCGTAATAATAAAATGGGTAGGGCGATGTTGATATTCAACGTGAGCTGTTTGGAGAAATATTTTCGTTTTCTTATTAGAAATCATAAACTTCATGTTTTACATAACGATCATTGGTCATGTTCTTCCTTACAGAAAACTTAAACTAAAACAGATATAGCATGTCGGTAATGATAATAATGTGCTTTTAAAAAGTACTTTTTGAAGACTACAGCTCTAAAGAAAGAGGCCGGTGTCTCTGATGTTAAATATGTACAATGGATTATTTACTGTATTTTTAAACAGTAAAAAAATGTTCTGTCAATTGTTTATTTTCAATTTTCTGTCATGCATTGACAATTCAACAATTTTTTATATTTTTTTATTCTGTCAATTGGTTCATGCATTGTCTCCGACTTTACGCAAGTGTGCAATATTTCAGATCGACTTGACAGGTAGAAGTGCGTTATATATAAATAATAAGATTTGTAGCAGACAGGAGAAGTGTAGTAGACCCTCGCTCCAAAAAAATCAGGCCCCATAACTGCAGAATTCATACCACACAACAGAAAATTTTGGTGAAAAATTACGCTCTATATTAAAGTTCCCCGTTTTAAATTCTGAACCTACATATATAGAAGGCCCATCAAAAAATCATATAACCATGCCTCCAGTGATTCGCGACTTACTGAAAGAATTCCTGCTCAATTATAAAATTTTTTCAAACGAAAAGTTCGAACCCTTAAAGAGAGTAGTTTTTACGCTGTATCATCGATGAATGAAAAACACTTACCTTCAAATATATTATTATACCAGAATTTTTGATGAACTGGAAAAAGTTACCAAAATTCTGTTTGAATCAGTAAAAGATTCTTGAACGCGATCTTGTCCTCTTGTTCTACATCACGGTTTAGTATCACACAAAACATGAATCTGAACCCTGGTGGAAAACATAGGATCTTAAGTACTCTTGGTATGTCCTAATTCGTTATTGAATTTGATTTCAGCTACAAACTAAATTTTGGGTTCGGTTTAAATTAGGTATAGAGTGAATTTTTATGACGAATAAATTAAATAAAATGATGTATAGTGTAATAGAACCGTTCAAAATCTAAATATAATACCTTTACTGCAGGGAATTAAATTGAACGGAAAGCCAATAACTCTCTTCTTATCTACCAGCAGACTATTCGATTATTGCTTAAAATAACAAATAAAGATCCATTGAGTAGAGTCGATCATGCTGAAGGTGTCGGTGAGAGCCGCAGTAGCGGCTGTGACCTTTATTCTACTTCTTGACTTCTGCGCATCAACTGAAAACATCCCACGAAAATGGGTACCTTTCTCGGCAAATATCACAGGTCTGAGCAGTTCCAACGTCTCTGATGTTGATGTTAAACAGGAGCTTCTGTGTAGCATTTTAGCTACTAATGACGGAAAGGCGAACCTCTTCTGCTTCGGACCAAAAGGCTGTGTTTTCGGACACGTTTACCTACCGGACGTTGAAGGAGAGCAAACCCCAGGTTACAACTGCTCCTATTCCCACGGTATGCATCACAAAATTATTATCTTTTAAGTGAAACTTTGATTATTTCATATATAAATATATTAACTATCATATTCCTATATATGTCATGTTATGGTTTGTTGCCAAGAACTTACAGTTAGCAAATAAGTTCTCATTCAGTCAGAAGCGACGCGTTTTCATCAAGTCTTTCTGACTCATTCCAGCTACATGACCAATTCGGTCCTCTTGATTGTGTCCATACTTTGCCAGCTGTTCTCAAGAAAGTAGGTTCTGGAGCAGAAGTGCATCCGTTAAACCTATTAAAATTACATATCTTCCCGGACCAGCCGAAATTAGTCGTCCAGACATTTTCACTTCTAAGTGCGAATTTGAAACTACCATACTACCATACCATACGTGGCATATGTATTTGAAGTGATCTTAAAGCTTCTCTGTAATTCGATATAGTAAATAGACACTACACATAACACGTTTAAACTATTCCCCATGCCTTCGTCTCGATGTTTTTCGGACGTACATATTTTACGGAGAAAAGTGGTGATTTTTGTACGCATGTAATGCATTCGGTTCTTAGCGTCCTGAAAACATGAGGTTTGGTGTTTGTAGTCTTTAAAATAAAAATGTTTTAGTCGTGTTCATAGTTTAGAGTCTCACATTAACACTGAAAGATGCAAATTATTGATGTCGGAGCGTAATGTATTGAGAAAGAAGCTTCAGCTAACAGGAATGTTTCTTGCAATTCCGCAGTTTGCCCTCACGACAACAAAACTCTCCGCGAAGGAGAAAAGGTACCTGAAACTTTCTGCCCGAACCTGAACCTGACGTGCACCAAGCGTGGCATGGTCAACCTAGCTAATGGTAGGTTCCAATGAGAATCAGAAATAGAAACGAAGCCTTTAATTTTAAGTCGATCCCACCCAAAGGTTTTGTTCATAGGTATATATTCTGCCTATGAATATGATATGAATCTGCCTATATATCAAGTTTCTCAAATTGGATGGGATGATAATAAAATATAAGTTGCAATATCATCGCTCGAGCCGAAAAAAAATCAAACACACCGAAGTGCTTGAACGAAAATGTGTTTCATTTGCGCTCTAACTACTTGCGAGAGAGCGCTTCGTAATCGATCGGGTTTAAAAGAAATATAGCTAGCTAAACTATATTCATCAGTAAGTTCAGTTGTTGTGCGCGTGCACTTATGTGGGTCACCTTACCCAGTTAGGCCCGGGAATATGGTATATCAATATCATTAGTGCTATGTTTGCTCACTATTTGTACGTATTGTGTTCATTTGTGAGACACTATTTATTCAATATGATTCTTTTGTTTTCTGAGTGATTAACCGAACTCTGATATTCATTTCCGTTCATATCTGTTGAACAATTCGTATTGTATTCCAAGGTGTACCGCCGCTGACAAGCTGCACTCCGCCCTTCGTGCAACACCCGTTCGGCTGCATGTACTTCAACAAGACAGCATCGCTGACGCTGTGCGCAGCGAGGGCTTACTGCCAGTCCCTTGGAGCGCAGGTGGCATCCCCCACCACACATGACAACTACCTCGCTCTGGTGGCCTACCTTACAGCGACTTACGGTAAGAAATTAAGGCTTCATGGGCCTTAAATGTCCCATTCACGGACGCTCCAACTCTGAACTCGGCACACTGGGCGAACTTGGCTCGAGCGCAGACACCGGTCAAGTTTAAGGTGCCGCCGTGCCGGTAACGACTAGGTACCGGCACGGCGGCACCTTAAACTTGTCTTGTGTCGAAGCTTATTTGAAGGATAGACACCAAGCGGTGAACATTTGGCATTTGTCTTATCTACTTGCCGCCAGTACTGTCCCCGTGTAAAATCACCTTATGACAACCAGAGGTCAAGTCTTGCTTTAATCTACGGAAGTTTCACCTACCTTTGGGCTCTAAGTGATTATATATAATACTAGAAGACTAATTCAAAAATGTTTGGGGTAGCGATCAATGAAGAATTAATATTTAAACCGACGTACATCTCGAAAATGTTAAAAAAAATTTACATACATTTATCTTAATGTCTCCAAATTGAAAATAATTAGCCAGGATAGCATTCCAAATTTTAGACTTGTATCTTATTTATGAGGAGAGTTAGTGAACCGATTCATAGTTAAGAATCTCCATAGGCAACTATCGTGGCTGAGCGCCTTGACGCATAGTCTTAAATTTAAAAACGGTTATTATTTTTAACTCCATCAGCCAATTACTAACAGTTTGTTGAGCTTAACTTACCAATCGCAGACAAGGAATTGGCTTTACCTATTGTAGAATAAATAAAAATAAATAAATATAAAAAATATTTTAAAAAACCACGTTTTTCTGTTTTTTAGAATACTAAAAGTAGTGAAATAAAACAAATAAAAAAACTTTTAAAAAACCACGTTTTCTTAACGGGCAAAAAAGAAAAACATTTACTCATACATAACATTTAAGTTATGTAAAATGTTATGTAATGTTATGTAAGAGTAAATGTTTTTCTTTTTTGTCCGTTAAGAAAACGTGGTTTTAAAAGTTTTTTTATTTGTTTTATTTCACTACTTTTAATTTTGTAAAAACCAGAAAAATGTGGTTTATAAAAATATTTTTTATATATATTTATTTTCTACTTTTTAGTTAGCAATTTTAGCAATTCAAATCAATTTCCAGGGTTGGCAAGTGTGGATGTTTGAGAAAAAACTCAATTCCAAACCGTGAATTTTTAGTGTTTTTTTTATTAATTTTTTTTCCAAAAAAAAATTTTTAATTATTATAACTGATGATCAAATCTTGAATTGTTAGGCAACATAAGCATGCATGCCAAATTTCAAGTTTCTAGGATCTTCAGAAGTGCTCTAAATTAAGGTTTGAATTTTTGATGACAGACAGACACGAAACGTCAAGAAAAACGTGGTAATAATAAAAAACGTGGTAAAAAGTCAGTTAATTTATTTAACAATTTTTAGGTATAAACTTATTATTTCTGATGATCAAATCTTGAATTGTTAGGTAGCATAAAAATGCAAGTCAAGTTTCAAGTTGCAATGATCTTCAAAAGTGCTCCAAATTAAGGTTTGATTTATTGAAGTACTTTAAATTAAGGTTCGATTTTTTGATGACAGACACCATCAATTTGAAAATCGTAATTTTTTTTAATTATTACTTTTAATGATCAAATCTTGAATTGTTAGGCAGCATAAGCATGTATACCAAATTTAAGTTTCTAGGATGTTTAGAAGAGCTCTATATTAAGATTTGACAAGGAATTTAAAAGCAAAGAAAACGCCAAGAAAATTCACCATATCGATATTGAAAACGTTTCGGAGTCCAGCTCCATCATCAGTTCGACTAAACTAAAAATGAATAAAA